ATAGTGATGTAGGTATGTGGGGGCGTGTTAGAACGAGCCGTTTTAGGTAGGTGTGGCTGACTCTTAACTTTTATAAAGAATATCTCTTTGGATTTGAGATTTTAGTCTTTGCAACTTTACAGATCTTCTTTATGCACCAAGAGCTTGTAACACTCCAAAGAGAAAGGAAAAATTTAAATCGCATCATATGACCCCTTTAACTTCGTTTGATTGACCTGTCTTTCCACTCGGTATTATTGCAAAGGAAAAGGGAAAAACCGTAATCCACAATTGTGAGTGATCAACTAAGCAGTAACCTAAATGAAATGGCTGATTTCTTTGCGTTATGTCCGCAGGAAGGCCTTTGAGTTGCCAAGGCGACGAGTCAGCGTTCCGATTGACCGGATTGGTGTAGGCCGTCTTCCCAGCAGCCGAGGATAGACTCCGCCTCTGACCACGCCCCGATACACAGGTGCGTAAGATCAACGGTAGTCACGTTTATTCTCATCTGTTACATACAATGTATTGTAAGATGAAAATATCATGAATATACTGCAAATTGTAATCAAAACCACACATATGTTGTTTGTTCTTTGTTCCACAGAGGGTAATATCGCAGGTAGATGATATGCATGATAAGCACACCAGCCAACACAACTCACTAACCACTGAACAATCTCAGCGTTCTCAACACACTTTTAATCATCGCTGTCCCAGAGCTGTTCTTTCTCACTGAATACTGATTTAGACCTTCAATATCCATTCAAACTGTTTATTTCCAGTTCTAACTCATCTTATAAATTCAACATCTAAACTGTATTGCTTTCATGAAATGAGTTCCGTTTATGATGTCAGAAGCATTAGCCAATCAGAGAGGAATCTGCTCATGGCTTCCATTGCAGATCACAATATTTACTCCAGTGCCTCACGACTTCTCGCTTGCTGTAAAATACATAACTATTGTCATTTTCTCACTTTGACTGGAGGCTGTTCAGCCTTGACAATAAAACAGATGAATATCTACGATCTGTCTGTCTTATTTGAACTTATTAATGGTAGCCGGTAAAATATTTGCAGAATAAATGAGATTGCAACTTAATTCTGGTGCTGATTAATGAACATACCTATGTGTATATGATTGTTGATAACTGGTTGGCATTGATCCTTTTGGTTACCCTTGTATTTTTTGTGTAGACACTTATAAGTAAATATTTACTTACGGAATAGAAGGGGACAATGATATTGAAAGTGGACTCTTAGTTTGTGGTTAATAAGTTGACAGACATAGACAAATACTAATAATAAAGCTAACACAGAGCATTAGATAAATACATCAAACACCAGGTTTCTTAAAACATTTATTTCATTCAAATTACATCAATGTGTGCAAATATAACAAAATGTGTGCATTTCTTATATAAATGTCTAGTGGCTTTTAATAGGAGTGTAGCCATTTTTATAAAGTATAGCATTTTAAATTTGTGCTGAGATATTATGTAGGTGTATAAAACTACAAATTTCATCAGTTTTATATGATTTATATCATTATAAAGATGTATAATGTATTTTTTTGCTTATGTACTATATGGTGTCCTTTAAAAATTTGGGGTTGGTAAGAAATGTTAATGTTTTAGAAAGTGCAAAAATACAGTAAAACAGTAATAATACGAAGTATCATTACAACTGAAAATAACTGTTTTATATTTGAATATATTTTAACATGTAATTTATTCCAGTGATGGAGAAGATGAATTTACAGCTCCAGCTCCAATCTAAAGTATCACATGATCCTCCAAAAATCATTCCAATATGCTGATTTTGATGCTCAAGAAACATTTATCAGTCTTGAAAATGGCTGTGCTGCTTACTATTTTTATGGAAACAGTGATCTTTTTTTCAGGATTTGACGAATATAAAGTAAAAAAAAAAAAGTAATTTATTGGAAGTAGAAATCTTTTGTAACATTATAAATGTCTTTACTGTCTCTTTTGATCAGTTTAATGTGTCCTTGCTGAATAAAAGTATTAATTCATTTAAAAAATCTTAAAACTCTTACGGACCCCAAACTTTTGAACAGTAGTGTAATATACATGCTGTCTTGATAGGCCAAAGTCCCTAACCAGTACTGAAGGTTAATTCAATTTTAGGACAGTATAATAACAAAAACGTATGAAGGATCCATGCACAGGGCCAAATATGAGGTGAGTACAATGCTATTTTCTGGATGAGTATGGTTCCTTAAAGTTGACTCAAGCGGTCGGCGCAAGTTCATATAATCTGTACTACCAATAAATTCACAAAGTGCTGGCATAAGATTTAGAATTTTAAAAAACAGCCAAATTAATTTTAAAAAGTCCATAATAAAGGAATTAATCTGACCAAATAATAGAATTAACACTTCTGGGTGTAACTCTTGCCTCACATTAAGTTAGTTTGTGGAAAATTACAAGAATGACAAAAAAAATAAAAAAAAATAAGGATAGACTTCCAGCTCCACTGCACTTTTCCAACTTCCTCACTACCAGCGGTCCACATCCATGTGCCTGTGTAGCCAGTGGACGTAGTTTGTCACCCGAGTGTACACCCCATACACCCTCTGACTGCCACACTCCTCTGGCCCGCCCCAGGACACCAGTCCTTGTGCCACCCATCTGCGACTGTGGGCGTCCTGGGTGACAAACGCTCCCCCACTGTCCCCCAAACAGGTGTCCTGACCACCTTCGTAGAAGCCAGCGCAAAACATATTGCTGGTGATGTTGTAGTTGACGGAGCGTGATGCATAACTGGCTTCACATTCGTCCTGCGGCACAACCGGGAGCTTCACATACTGGAGCAGCTCGGAAACCGTGCTGGAATCGGAGGTCAAGCCACTGGAGGAGGCAGAAGCATTGGCCGTGTTAATGCCCCAACCGGCCACTATACCCAATGTGTTGGGCAGAGGCATCAGGGCATGACCTTCTACACCAGGCCTTGGTAGACAGATGGGCCGTATTAACGCAGACAGCACCACCTCCTGGCTGAGTTTAAGCAGAGCAATGTCGTTGTTGTAGTTTTGAGGATCAAAATGAGGATGGAGGATGACTTTTGCTACGGACCGGTTGGTGGCCAAGTGCTTATCCCGTACATCCGTGAGGCCCAAGTGCACACGGATGTGTTCAGAAGCAACAGGTACAACGGAAAGATCACGGCGGTGAGATCTGAGCACATGAGCAGCTGTGAGAACCCAGGTTGAGGAGAGGAGAGCGCCGCTGCCAAACCAGCGGTCCTCAGGGACACGGGACACGTCCTCTACTGAGAGCAGAACCTGCCAGGGGAACAGACCTGGAGATGCTGTTCTCCCACCAACGATTCGCTTCTGCTGGGCTGGAAAGAACTGTGACTGCTCACCACATGCTGAAACAAAAACATGTGCAAGTTAACATAGATATGAGTAGGAATCTTAGAAACAAATACAAGTACCTTAACACAAAGAGAGACACCCAGGGTCCCAGATTAACCAGCAAGTTTTTTCAGTTGTATTTAATATGAATTGGTCTGCCAAAAATAAAAAGTCAATAAACATAAAATAATAATAATATTTTGGGGTCTGTAAGATTTCTTTAATGTTTTTGAAAGAAGTCTCAAGGCTGCATTCATTTGATTAAAAAAAAACAAAAAAACAGCAATACTGTGAAATATTATAATTTAAAATAATTGTATTTTTATATATGTATTTATTCTTGTATGCATTATAAGTTTAAATTTTATTTTTGACATGAAAAAAAAAAAAAAGATAAGGCTGCTAAAATTAAACATTTTATTAGACATATTACTTTTTTTAGTTGACAGATTATGGAATCACTGGATAAAAATATCCAGTACTTTGATGAAGGGATCAAAGTTTTGTACTTTGATGAAGGGAAAGTTTAGTATATAGATATATAAATCATATACTAAATAACACACTATATATATATTAATATATATATATATATATATATATATATATA